TTTGCTTCAGGATGAGAAGAGAATCACGTGGCAGCAGCAGGAGGCCCCATTAGCTAAAGCGGTGCTTCAGGTTAAGAACAGTTTCAGGTTAAGAATGGACCTCCGGAACGAATTAAGTACGTAACCAGAGGTACCACTGTATATACAGTGGTACCTCGGGATGCAAACAGGATCCATTCCAGAGCCCTGTTCGCATCCTGAACATAATGTAAGACGCGACAGCGCATCTGCACATGCGTGGGTCGCATTTTGCCACTTCCACGCATGACATCATTTTGAGCATCTGCGCATGCACGAGCGGCAAAACCCGGAAGTAACACGCTCTGTTACTTCCGGGTCGCTGCGGAGCGCAACCCGAATGCGCTCAACCTGAAGCGTATTTATCCCGAGGTATGACTGTATATTATTTTGAAGTTGATGATTGTAAATTTTGGGTGACATTCTAACCACTAATAATAATAATACATTTACTACATTTATTAGCCACGTGCTGCAGATGTATTGAGCAGATTCTTCTGTATTGCAACACAGGGGTTTGCTCCTCCTTACCTACCTTGGTACCTGAGATCCTTCTCACCTGAATAAACCAGGCCTCCTACCTGGGACCTTCTGCATTCAGAGCATCCCCCCATTTCAAGACAGGTGAGCCAGGGCTCAGAGCGAGTCTGCATGACCCCAAATCTGGAGAGGTAGAAGTGTTGGCATTCCACCGGGATAGGAAAGTGCTGGGGGTGGGGGAGACAATTGGAATCATGGAAGTGGACCCCGAGGGTCATCTAGTCCAATCCTGACGAGGCAGGGGTCGTTTGCTCAAACACACAACCCTGAGATTAAGAGCCTCTTCCCTTACTGACTGAACTATCCCAGGGATGGGGGGGGGGGGAAGTGTCCCCACAGAACAGGACCCATCGCATTGCTGGGCTCCGGCAGGGATTTGAAGAAAAGGCACCTTTCACATCCAAATTAGAACTGATTCATCAACCAAAAATAAAATAAGGATGTAACGCCTGAAGCAAGGTTATTTGAACATTAACACCATCAGAATCAAGAGGACCTTGGAGGTAATATGTGCAGGGTAGGGGGCACAAATGTGAAATTGGCCATTTATTCTTTTTCAGAAATTGAAATTAGCAGAGTACGTTTCTGAGCACAATTCAAAGTGTTGGTGCTGACCTGTAAAGCCCCAAATGGTCCAGGAGGAGCGTCTCCACCCCCATCGTCCCTGCCCGGACACTGAGGTCCAGCACCGAGGGACTTCTGGCAGTCCCCTTGCTGCGAGAAGGGAGGTTACAGGGAACCAGGCAGAGGGCCTTCTCGGTGGTGGGTGCCCGCCCTGTGGAACGCCCTCCCACCAGATGTCAAGGAAATAAACTATCTGACTTTTAGAAGACATCTCAGGGCAGCCCTGTTTAGGAAAGCTTTTACTGTTTGATGTTTTATTGTGTTTTTAATATTCTATTGGAAGCCACCCAGAGTGGCTGGGGAAACCCAGCCAGATGGGCGGTGTAGAAATAAATAATAATAATAATAATAATAATAATAATAATAATAATAATAATAAGGCGACGACTCACTGCCTATTTATTCTGAATGTTTGTAAGTGATGCCAATAAAGGTTTGATGATGATGAAGATGATGGAATCTTAGAGCTGCAGAGTTGGAAGGGAGCCTGAGGGTCCTCCAGTCCAGCCCCCTCCAATGCCTGGAATCACAATACCTGGAAGGCGGCCAACCAACCTCTGCTTAAAATCCTCCAAAGGAGAGACCACCACCTTCTTCGGGAGTCTGCTCCACCGTCCATGGGCTTCTTACTGCCAGAAAAGTTCTTCCTAGTGGTGGGACGAAGTTTGCAAAGACACCTCAAGGTGCCCCCTATGTGTGTGTCCTGTCCCCCCCATGTGCCCCCCTTATTGCCTTGGCACCTTCATTTATGAGACGGCAGATCCTTCTTCTTCTTCTTCCTCGTTTCAAGCCTCTTGGCTCCAAGGCTCCAAACCAAACCATTTACCACATTCACAAAAAAGCCATAATGAAATGGTCACATTTAATGAACAATCTCTCTCTTGTGTGAGTGCGGGTGTTTTGTTTTTTTGTTTTTCCTTCAGTGAAGTGTGTGTGATTTTAAAAGTTTTTTTTTATATATATACACATCTATAAAAAGTTCAAATACAGCATATTATTGTTTTGGAATAATAGGGCGTAGGGTGTTCAATACTGCACTTTGAAACGAGGGGGGGAGGGAGGGAGAGGAGGGGAATTTGGGGAAGCCGGATTCTTACAAAACAGGACTTGGGGAAGGGGTGAAGAGAGGGAACAGGGCAGTTTTGGGTGAGGTGGGGGCCAAGAGGACATCTTAGTTTAGCTACAGTTCCATCGGGTATACATCCCACTCCCCAATAATAAGACCAATACACAAACCTAAGGAGCTTTTCTGTATAAACGGAAGGGGGACACACAGCTACAAATGGGGCGGGAGGGAAGGGTGAGCGTGTGTTTTCCAAGATGGGACCCCCTCCCGACCTCTCCTTTGGTGGGACAGTTACGAACGGCTTCTTTTAAAAAACAAAGACCCGCCAGCCGCCTTGACGCACCCCTCTCGTGGCTCCCGGTGGGGCGCTTGCTTTATTCCGCCCCCCCACCGTGATGTGTGGGCAGAGCCGCGATGCCTCCGCGGGAACATTTGACTCTCTCTGCCCGGCCGAGGGCTCAAAGGTTCATTCTCTCACAGCTGCCAAGAGGAGGAAGGGGAGGAAGAGGAACGCCGGCCTTGTGGGGCAGCCCCCCCTGGGTGTCAGGTTCGTGGCCTCCCCTCCCGGAGCCGCCCTGTCCGTCCGTCCGTCTGTCGCGCTCCTGTGTCCAGGAACCGGGCTGCGGGTTTGAAGTATGCCCAGCAGAGGGTCTTTGGCGTGGTGGTTTAGCTGTATGATCTGAACCCGGGGCCAGGGGGGTGGCTGGTGCTCCAGGCTGCTGCTCCCTCCCTCCCCCCCACTTCAGGCCTGCCTTTCTCCTCCCCCCGCCCCCAATCCCACCCCACATTCCCGCCTGTCACTTTCGCGTGCGAGGAGAGCTCCTATGTCTTTTTGAAGGTTTAGTCAGGCGGCTTTGCAAAGTTCTGGGTAAGTTTGTAGTTGGTTGGGTGGCAGGCAGGCGGGCGGGCGGGCGGAGAGCCTGGGCCCCATTGGATCTTCTTTTTGGGGGGGCTCGGCCTTCTGAGAAGTGCAGCGATGAAGAGAAACGGAACACGTCCTTCAGACCATGTGCAAAACAGAAGCAAAGACAGACGTTCCGGTGAGTCGGGGACCTCCTCAGCGGGGCTCCGAGGCCGAGTCTAGAGGAAGGGGGAGGGAAAGGAAAAGTGAACATAAGAAGTGGCCCCCCTAGTCCAGCGTCCTGTTCCCACATTGAGGCAGCCATTCAAATTGGTGGTGGTCGTCACCGCCTCTTGTTAAACCCTGGAACTCACTGCCACTGGGGGTAGCGATGGCGAGAGACCTGGATGGTTTTAGAAAGGGACTGGACAAATGCAAAGAGGAGGAAATTGGCTACCACAAGATCCTATGGAGAGCCTTGGAGAGTTAAAATCGAGATGTGGAAATATGGAAAAATCGCTGAGAGGCAGGACTGAGATTTGGACATGCTTCAAGGTGCAGACTATGGGAAGCCATAAAATTACTGTATTTTTCTCCCCATAAGACGCACCTAGTTTTCAGAGGGGGAAAGCAAGAAAAAAAAAATTCTTTAAAGGGAGAGGTGAGCAGAGTCTGTATGCACCCCAGGCTCTGCTCAGCACTCCCTTTAAAGAGCCGCATGAAGCGTGTGTGTGGCGCTTGCAGGCTTTTCCCCAAGGAGGGAGAAGGGCAGCCCGCGCGGCTCTTGGGGGCTTTTCCGGGAGGTGGGGGAAGGGACTGAGGGGCTAAGCCAGAAGCTAGAACAGCAAGAGGGAGTGCTGCGCAGCAATCCCTCTTGCTGTTCTGGCTTCTGGGATAGCTGCGCAGCCTGCATTCGCTCCATAAGACCACACACACATTCCCCATTACTTTTTAGGAGGGAAAAAGTGCGTCTTATAGAGCAAAAAATACGTTAATAATTGCAGTTCGGAAGATAATTCAACCTTTTTTATTTTATTTTTATTGGATTATGATTTGATATGTTAATTGGATATCTTTTATTGGGAAATTAATAAAAACAATCTAACAAAAAACAGATCCTATGGAGAGACTGTCTAGTCCGGCATCCTGTTCTCACGGGGCCAAACATCAGGAAGAACTTTCTGGTGAGAAACCTCCAAGGAAGGCGAGTCCACAGGGAGAGCGGTCCATGGTCCCAACAGCCACAACCTCCCCACAGCTTGACCTCACCCCCAAAGGCAGACCCCTCCAGCGTCTCCCGAGACAGACGGATGCCAGCTTCCATATAACCCCCCTATTTTCTTTCCCCTTTTCCCCCTGCCCCCTTCATCCCACAAGGAGGGGCCCTAAGAGACACTCACTAAATAAAGTGGATGCTGAAAGCCACCAATAGCAGACTAGCCACCCAGGACAGGGCGATGGCTCCATCGCTGCCTTGCTCCTCCGAGTTCCCGATGCTGGTGGTGGTGGGGACCACAAAGGCTGAGGTGCTGGCGGTCGTCGTCTCTGAAGGAGAGGGGAAAGGGATTAATGCCAGGGGCACAGCTAGAGCGGATGTCCAGCGGCCCCCCATCTCCTTGCCCCATGGAGTCGTGTACAGTCAGGGCCGGATTTAGGTTTGATGAGGCTCTCAGTTCCTGAAGGTAATGGGGCCCTTTCTATGTCCAGCTGCCCTTTGTCAACAACAAATTGTTGCTGTTTTATTTGTTGAATAGATGCTATATGGTAATTTATGGACCTAATAGGTATCTCAAGCCACTTGCACATGTTGCCATGCAACCAGTCCATGCAGAATGTAAATGTAAAGGGACCCCGACCGTTAGGTCCAGTCGTGGCCGACTCTGGGGTTGCGGTGCTCATCTCGCTTTACTGGCCGAGGGAGCCGGCGTACAGCTTCCGGGTCATGTGGCCAGCAGGACTAAGCCTCTTCTGGCGAACCAGAGCAGCGCACAGAAATTCCGTTTACCTTCCCACTGGAGTGGTACCTATTTATCTACTTGCACTGTGTGCTTTCAAACTGCTAGGTTGGCACTTCCTATCAGTTGATGTCAAACCAGCGTCCCACACCGTGATGCAGTAGGAAAGGACGCTTTCTATTGTGGACCGGTAGAAGGAGATCATCAGATGTTGATTGACATCATTCTTCCGCAATACTCTGAGGAGATGGAGTCTCTGTTGGGCTTTCTTAACCACCTGGGTTGTATTGATTTTCCAAGTAAGGTCTCCTCCCTCAGCCATGCAATCCAACGCTGCTGTCTCTCACCCAGCCCTACTCTGCAAGGTTGTTGTGAGGGGGGAGAGAATGTACTCTGTCCTGTGCTCCATGTTGGAATGGCAGGATAAAGATGATATGAACAATATTAATAATATGAATAATAATGTTGGGTGTTATTTTCACAGCACCACACAGGGACCACCAAGAGACAGATGAGGAAGAGCAATCCACTGGAGAACATTGCTAAACGATATTCATTAGGAGAGCAATTAATGCCATTGACGTCAATGGGGCTCAGAGTTGCGATGAACTTTTGCAAGATGCCTGCTGCCCTTCCTACTTGCATGCCAAGCCGCGTGGCCACCAGAGGGCAGTCTCTGCTCACAGTAAAGTCCAAGTCACAGGACACTGACCATCACGGAGTCCCTTCTTCAATCTTTCTTGGGGGCAAATGGGCACAAAGAGTTACTTGTTTTGCCTTTTTTGGGGGGGGGAGGCGGGGCACAGAGGCATGCATTTCTTGTTACTGACCATCATCACACAACCTAAGCCAATTGGGTATGTTGCACTGTGACACTGCAACATTGGCTGCATGATCCCAAACTGGATGGGGTGATGTCACAGGGACACTTCGTCACACCAGCGTTAAGGGAAAAAACGGAGCCCAAAATAACAGTGTGAGGCAATCAAAACCAATGAACAGGTAGAGAAAAAGATGAAAAAGCAGGTGACACTTGCAAAATATCTCCAGCCTTGAAATCCCCTGTCTTGCACTGATGTGACTATTCGGTGTAGTTCTTGAAAGCGACTTGCACTTGCTTAACCATAAACAGGTAAAAAGGTAAAGGACCCCTGGATGGTTAAGTCCACTAAAAGGTGACTATGGGGTTGCAGCGCTCATCTCGCTTTCAGGCCGAGGGAACCGGTGTTTGCCCACAGACAGCTTTCCGGGTCATGTGTCCAGCAGGACTAAACCACTTCTGGCACAACGGGACACCGTGAAGGAAGCCAGAGCCTCGGAAATGCTGTATACTTTCCCACTGCAACCATATCAATTTATCTACTTGTGCTGGCGTGCTTTTGAACTGCTAGGTTGGCAGGAGCTGGGACAGAGCAACGGGAGCTCTCCCCATCGTGGGGATTCGAACTGCCAACCTTCTGATCGGCAAACCCAAGAGGCTCCGTGGTTTAGACCACAAGCGCCACCTGCTTCCTATAACCATAAAAGCAAGCCCAAGGAAAGGTGGGAATAATGTTCAGGCTTGGGCTTTGGCCATTTCTGGGTCAAGGGGCATCCAAAGACATATCAGGTGCCGAGAGACCCCAGCCCGTCCCCAACACACCAATGGTCACCTTAAAGAACTGAACAGAACCAAAGAGGGGAGCATGGGTGATGTTGCATAGCCTGGGTTTATGCGGTTTGCAACATTCTCCAAATCTGTCAGGTGATTTCACCTGCACGGCAGCCCCTAAGAGCTGACCCCCTTGGTGTGCCGAAATGTGCCGTCTCTACACAGGCTGTCGTGCAGCCAGGCAGCACCAATAATTTGCACATTCCCCTGTGTGTGTGTGCGCGCACACAACCAGACGCCCCGAGGGTCTTTGGCAGGCCTCCCGGTGCTTTCCTAGTAGTGGACAGCATTTTTTTCTCCTCGATTTCCCAACCCCAAGAGCGCCGGTGCCAGCTGAGGGGACCAGCCCGGACTCTGCACGGCTGCTTCTGGGAAGCCAGAGGCTGATATCACATTATGCACTTGGAAGCCAGCCCAGCTCTTTCCTAGAAACAGAGAGTTGTTAACTTTGCGGCTTTCCTCGCTAACAGGCTTCCCGTTGTGTGCTGCTACAAAAACCCACACTGGACAGCGCCTTTTGCCAGAGATTTTGCGAAGCACACGGCCTGTTCTGGTTCCCACATTTCCTGAAACCCCGCTGCCCTTTCCTGGTGGGGAGAACATAGCCAGCTGGCAAGTGGTAGGCGGAAGAGCAGCTTTGCAGGATCAGACCCAGGTCCATCTGATCTTGTGTTCTGATCCTACCATGAGCCGCTGGGAAGGTCGCAAGAAGAGCACAGGGCTGGCTGATCTTTCCTCCATCCCCGGCATTAGAGGTAGACTGCATCTGAACAAGGAAGTTCCATTGAATTATCGTGGTTCACAGCTGTTAATAGACCTCCCTGCCTCCATGATGGGAGAGGAACTTTAGCCCAGTGGGCAGAGCATGGGATTTGCATGCAGGATCATGCAAAGGACCCCAAGGGTCATCTAGTCCAACTCACAGCTGAATAATCCCTTACCATTGGCCATCCTTGTTGGCAAACAACTGTCTCAGGAAACAATGGAGAACCTCTGCTTAAAAGTCCTTCCTGATGTTTAATCAGAATCTCCTTTCCAGCAGGCACCTCCAGTTTAAAAGGATACAGCTAGCTACCCTTCTTTGCCTGAGACGACCCAGGAGAATGAGCAGCTGCCCATCAGAGCAGACAGTATGAGGCTGGGCCAGACAAAGGCCTCGTCCACACTTCCTCCTCTTCTGTGCCTATAAAGCATGGGTCCGAGTGGTTTTCCCCTTGCGCCACTCCTCTCCCAGGAAAAAGCCTGCTCTTTAGTGCTGAATCAGAACAAACAGCAATCCACAGAAAACCTGGATGGCTGTTTGCTCTGATTAAGTGCCAAAGAGCAGTTTTCCCCGGAGGAAAGAGGGACAAGAGGAAGTCTGGATAAGCCCAAAGCAACTTCCTCTGAACTTGTGTGACTCCTTTTCAGGGCCATTGCTATGTCTTGGGGTCTGGAATTCTGTACACGGGTAAAGTCATTGCAGGACCTCGGCTCCTTTGATAAACCTGTGAAGATTTGTGCAAGCCTATCTCCTTGGCCAGCAGGGTTTTATTGCTGGGGGTGTTGGTAGAAGCAAGAACCCCTTTTGAAGGAGGAGAGCTGACTTGTGTGATGCTGCTGTCGAGAGAAACGGGAACTTTGCAAGCCTAAAGAATGGTGTTCCCGCCAAAAACACTTAGAGACACAGCACAGAGCTTAAGAAATGGGCACCCCAATGGAAAAACCACTTTGGGGTGGCAGGGGTATCATTCAGGTAGTCAGAGTTGTTTTTACCCTCACGTAAATGGGACGCAGGTGGCGCTGTGGGTTAAACCACAGAGCCTAGGACTTGCCGATCAGAAGGTCGGCGGTTCGAATCCCCGCGACGGGGTGAGCTCCCATTGCTTGGCCGTGGCTCCTGCCAACCTAGCAGTTCAAAAGCACGACAAAGTGCAAGTAGATAAATAGCTACCGCTCTGGCGGGAAGGTAAACGGCGTTTCCGTGCGCTGCTCTGGTTCGCCAGAAGCAGCTCAGTCCTGCTGGCCGCATGACCCAGAAGCTGTACGCCGGCTCCCTCGGCCAATAAAGCGAGATGAGCGCTGCAACCCCAGAGTCGGCCACAACTGGACCTAATGGTCAGGGGTCCTTTAAGGACATAAAGAAAGCTTGCTGGATCAGGCCAAACGGCCCACCTAGTCCAGCATCCTCTCCGCACAGTGGCCATGTAGACGTCCCAATGGGAAACGTCTGCAAGCAGGATTGGAGCGCAAGAGCCCTTCTGTGGTTCCATGCCTTTGCCCTTCAAAATGGGCGCGTTAACCCTGGAAGAGCCACTCCAAAGGCAGCAGGGCAGAAACTCCTAAGGGACACAGAATCATAGCCCTGGGAAGGGTCTCTCGTTGAGCCCCCTGGCAGAGCAGGAAGCCCACTCCCACAGCACCCCATAGGGAAGCACCCAGCTCACCACCACTTTCCTTCCAAAGCAAAACGGGTGGATTATTGCAAAAGATCGAAAGTCCTTTATGTCAGCACTGCCCATCTTTGGCATGGAAAGAAGGGTCTGTTTTGCAAAACTCCTTATCTCTGAGCAACCGTGGCAGCACTCAGGAATCCTGGGTGTTACAGGGCTGGCTGCGGCGAGCCATGCATTGCAAGTTCCTCAACTTTCAAAGCTGGCTACAGGACCTCCCAGATGTCGGCCACATCTGGGACCTGTTTCCCTGTTGGCCGAGGACTCCAGATCTGGTGGGCCTCAGGCGCAGACAATATCAGCACCCGCAGAAGGAAAGGGGATGTGGCCCGCCTGGCTGCTACCCTCCAACTGCTTTCATTCTGATGCGGAATCTCCCACCTGGTCTACAAAATGGGCTACGCAGAAGTAAAGAAGAATTGGAAGGGGTTCCGAGGGTCATCTAGTCCAACCCCCAAACATGCAGGAATCGCAGCATGAAGTGGAAAGGGTGTGTGTGTCAAAAGGCTGCTGAATAATCCCAGGAGCCTCCCTCTCTGGCCGCAACAAGTTCCCCTCCTACCCCGGTCTCTAAGAATGCACAGGATAATAAGAAGGGCACAACCAGATCAGAGAGGTGAGCAGATGCAGTTTGAGATGCTTGGGAAATATTTGGGAGTGTCTCCACCCCCATCGTTCTGCCGGACACTGAGGTCCAGCGCCGAGGGCCTTCTGGCGGTTCCCTCACTGCGAGAAGCCAAGTTATAGGGAACCAAGCAAAGGGCCTTCTCGGTGGTGGCACCCTGTTCAGGGAATTTTTAAATGTGTGGCATTTTAATGTATTTTTAATCTTTGTTGGAAGCCGCCCAGAGTGGCTGGGGAAACCCAGCCAGATGGGCAAGGTACAAATAATAAATTACTATTACTACCTGCCCTGTGGAACGCCCTCCCACAAGATGTCCAAGAGAACAACAACTACCAGACTTTTAGAAGACATCTGAAGGCAGCCCTCTTTAGGGAAGCTTTTAATGTTTGATGCATTACTGTATTTTAATATTTTGTTGGAAGCCGCCCAGAGTGGCTGGGGAAGCCCAGCCAAATGGGCGGGGTATAAATACATTGGTACCTCGGGTTAAGTACTTAATTCGTTCCGGAGGTCCATAGTTAACCTGAAACTGTTCTTAACCTGAAGCACCACTTTAGCTAATGGGGCCTCCTGCTGCTGCCGCGCCGCCAGAGCACAATTTCTGTTCTCATCCTGAAGCAAAGTTCTTAACCTGAAGCACTATTTCTGGGTTAGCGGAGTCTGTAACCTGAAGCGTATGTAACCCGAGGTACCACTGTAATAAATTATTATTATCATTATTATTAGGAGAGGAGGAGCCTGCGGAAGGGTGGAAAGTGGGGACCAACTGCTCCACAGGGGCAAGACCTACTGCTGCTGAGTTGTGTCTGGTTTCCTTGAACAAAGAGTCAACGTCACTGCTAAGGGCCTCTGCATCATCTGACTCCATCCCTGGCGCTAGCCCTGCCTGAGCAAGACCTCCTCCTCCCCAGAAACGACTCCCTCTTCCCGTCCCCACAGAAAACCCTCCTCTTCCTGCATCTTCATGGCTTCACCTGCTCCCTGGGCTTCTGTGGTGAGATGCTTGGGCTCCTCAGTCCAGGGCGTGGCATGCACGGCCACGCTCCAGTCGCTCCACGTGCCAATCTCGTTGTCCTTGGCTGCCACCTGGATGATGTACTCCTTGCCCGCGTAGGCGTCGGTGATGATGTGGGTCGTCCCGTCCGACAGCTCCACCTGCAAAGGGGAGAAGGGAAGGGTCATTGGGGGGGGCTGCCGATGAATTCACAGCATCCCAGCACCTCTTGGGGGTGAGATGTTGCGGCCATGGCTTTGCGCAGAACTGGGGGTGCCCAAACGTCCGATGGCACAGGTTAGGAAGCTGCCAAGTGCCACCCTGAAGCCATGACAAGCGCCTGAGGGCATCTTGATTGGCATTCCTAGCCTGGCAAAGAGGGCACCCAACCCAGCTAGGTTTTGAAGAGCAGTAACTGGCATGGGAGCCAAACAATAGAGAAACAGACAAATAGATACAGTATTTTCTGGATGATAGGGAAAAAACCTTTTTGGTGTATGTAAATCCAGCTATATAACAGGGCTTACTCTTGGGTAAATGTAGCAGGGATTGCATGCCCAGGCACAGACAGAGGGGGGGGGCATATGGGCCACTTGGCCCAGTCCTCCGATTCCAAAGGGGGCCTCGGGCAGCATACATTCCCTATATATTTTTTAAAAGCACTAACCTAGACAGCATCTTAAAAAGCAGAGACATCAACTTGCTAACAAAGGTCCGTATAGTTAAAGCTATGGTTTTCCCACTAGTGATGTATGGAAGTGAGAGCTGGACCATAAAGAAGGTTGATCGTCGAAGAATGGATGCTTTTGAATTATGGTGCTGGAGGAGACTCTTGAGAGCCCCATGGACTGCAAGAAGAACAAACCTCTCCATTCTGAAGGAAATCAGCCCTGAGTGCTCACTGGAAGGACAGATCCTGAAGCTGAGGCTCCAAGACTTTGGCCACCTCATGAGAAGAGAAGACTCCCTGGAAAAGACCCTGATGTTGGGAAAGATGGAGGGCACAAGGAGAAGGGGACGACAGAGGACGAGATGGTTGGACAGTGTTCTCGAAGCTACCAGCATGAGCTTGACCAAACTGCGGGAGGCAGTGGAAGACAGGGGTGCCTGGTGTGCTCTGGTCCAGGGGGTCACAAAGAGGCGGACACGACTAAACAGCTAAACAACAACAACATTGTATATCTATATTTTCCATTTTGTCTTTATATGCAGATATGGTTCAAGCCTTGAAATAAAATTATTTGTCAGCATAACTTTTGTGAAAATTATTTATATACTTACTTATTTATAAGACTTCAGTTACCCCCAGGGTAAAAAAAAAGGGGGGGGTACACATTATCTACCTGGCCTGGGCCTCTGCCTGGCTCTGCAAGGCCCTGCACATGCCATCCAGTGAAATGCTTTTCTATATCTATACCAACCTGTTGCACTCCAGGTGTTTCTGGACTGCCCCTCCAATTGCCACATCTGCAGCAGCTGTGCTGGCAGAGGCTGGAGGGAGTTGTAGTACAGCAACATCTGGAGGGCACCAGTTGGGGAAGGCCAGTTGAGAGGAAGAGCACCTCTTTCCACATGACTTTCCCTAAAGTCCCAAGCCCACCCCATCCATTGCTGCTCATCAAAGTTCTCAGCTGTCAACCTTGAAAAGAGGGACTTTTCCTCTGCAGCGAATTTTCACAAGATAACCGCTCCGCCTCCCCCCATTATGCACTCCATAAATGAGTGAGTTGCACAATTCACACCTAATACTAGGCCTCTTCTGGGCCCTTTTATGGCTCATTTTTTTTTTAAAAAAAAGCTCACAAAATTGGCACTTCCAGAATAATGGTAGCAGCAGCTTTCCTGAATCATTAGCTTTGGAAAGGCAGGTGTTTGGATTGGGCTGGGGTGGGTGGGCAACAGGGAACTATTTTACCCCCAGCTCAGGTCCTATCACCTGGGCTACCTCTTAGCCAACTCTGGGTTTGTTTGTTTTTTAAATAATTAAAATAAAATAAAATAGAAAAAAAAATCAGAATTGGACAATAGAAACAAAATCACAATCTCCACTAACAAAGGCAAGAGAGGAGCTGGGACTGCTGCAAAGTCCTCCTTGCTGAAGGGAGAGGAGAGATGCTGGAACCATTGATATAAATGGTACAGTGGTGCCTCGCAAGACGAAATTAAATCGTTCCGCGAGTTTTGTTGCCTTGCGATTTTTTTCGTCCTGCGAAGCACGGTGTCGGGAAAGTTTTGGAAAAGCTTCAAAAATCACCAAAGTCTTTAAAAACCTCAAAAAAGGCTACCATACCGCATTCTATGAGTTGCTCTTCGAAGTCAAGTCGCAACTGTATTAACGGTGTTAAGAAAAAGGAAACAAACTTGCAAGACGTTTCCGTAGCAAGCCCATAGGGAAATTCGTCTTGCGAAGCAGCTCAAAAAACCAAAAACCCTTTCGTTTTGCGAGTTTTTTGTCTTGCGAGGCATTCGTCTTGCGAGGTACCACTGTATTTGGATTAGGAAGGGGTTCATAGGTAACGTACAAGACCCCTGATCTGCATGCTCCACGTGCATGGGTGAAAAGCTCCATTGCTAGAAAGAGAATGGAGAGGCGTTGTGAGTCAAGGGAAAGGGTCGCTGGAGGGTTAGAAGGAAGTCTCTGTTAGATGACTAGGAAGCAGAAGGAACCTGCTAATAGCCCAGGACTAAAGCCCAGATGCAACTGAACTGCTCACTTGACAAAACTGAGCAGGGACTGGCAAAGGCTTCGGCCCAGTAAGGAGCATCTCCACCCCCATCGTTCTGCCCGGACACTGAGGTCCAGCTCTGAGGGCCTTCTGGCAGTTCCCTCACTGTGATAAGCGAGGTTACAGGGAATCAGGCAGAGGGTCTTCTCGGCGGTGGTGCTCATCCTGTGAAACACCCTCCCATCAGATGTCAAGGAAATCAGACTTTTAGAAGACATCTGAAGGCAGCCCTGTTTAGGGAAGTTTTTAATGTCTGAAGTTTTATTCTGTTTTTAGTGTTTCCCAGAGTGGCTGGGGAAACCCATCCAGATGGGCGGGGTATAAATAGTAAAATTATTACAGTCATACCTCATGTTACGTTTGCTTCATGTTACGTTCTTTCAGGTTATGTCCTGCGGCGACCCAGAAGTACCGGACAGGGTTACTTCTGGGTTTCGCCACTCGCGCATGCGCAGAAGTGCAAAATGACGTTACGCACCTGTGCAGAAGCGGCGAATCACAACCCGCGTGTGCACAGACGCGCCGCTGCGGGTTTCACTCTTTACATGTTGCGCACGGGCCTCCAGAACGGATCCCGTTCGCAACCAGAGGTACCACTGTGTTGTTATTATTCTTATTAGAAGGCACAGCTCAGAGTCTGGAGACTTTGCTTTCTTACTGAAGACTCTTCCCCCAATTCCAAGATGCTCACACACTCTCCTTAAGCTCTCTTGCTTGTTTCAGATGAGTCCCCCAACCATCATCTTTCCACACCTCTCCTTTCTCCAAGATTAGAGGCTGGTTTCGCCTTTGTGCATGAGCTGACTGCGTGCAGGCCATTGCTCAGAAACGTTTCCAAGGATTGCTTCTCTGCCAGCCCTTCCATTTCGAGATGGGGAGAGACCAAAGCAGTTCCAAAACGTCATCACCCCATTTTGTGTTGTCCTGGTCAATTTGACCAGGACGTGCAGTTTCCCAAAATAATCCGGAAAGCCTTTTAAGAGCTGTCTGCCTAATCAAAGCACGACTTGGCAGGACAACTCAGATCAGACAGATTTCGGCTTGTTTGCAAGCTGTCTTAGCTAACTTTGTTAAAATTGTCCTGCTAGGAAGGTCAGATTTAAGGTCCCGCCAAAAGACTTTGGACTGAGATATCCAGCAGTTTGGGTCCAGCAGAGTTTCTGAACTTTCCAGCAAATTATGCTGGTAATGTCTGGATTTGAAATTGCTAACAGAATAGCACAAGTCGGCTGCAGAGAACAGAAATGAAGCACTCTGACCCTGTAGAAAACTTCAGTAACCTTAGAGAACCTCTTGCGTCCTGTTGTACATGGGGATGTTTCCAGTTGGAGCAATGGCATGGCGCTAGTTCCTGATCAAATGACAGAAGCTTTAGGTTTTAGGGCTCCCCAACCCATGCACATAAACCCATTTTCTCCTGTGACAAGCTGCAAAGCTTCACCACTCTTTTCTCAAGTATGGTGATAATGCTTGAGTCAACAGCGTGATTCAGCAGCAAAAAAAAGGTTAATGCTCTTCTAGGCTGCATCAACAGAGGTCTAGTGTCTAGATCAAGGGAAGTCATAGTCCAACTCTATTCTGCCTTAATCAGACCACACTTGGAATACTGCGTCCAGTTGTTTAAGAATTTAAGAAGGATGCTGAGAAGCTGGAAGGTGTGCAGAGGAGGGTGAAAAAGATGGTTAAGGGTCTGGAAACCAAGTCTTAGGAGGAGCCCTTGAAGGAGCTGGGAGAGGAGGTTACAATTAACATTTGTAAAAAAGCCTGAAGCATTTTTGTTATGGATTGTAGGAAAAGACCTGCCAAGGAAATTGAAAACCATTTTCATGTATGCGACAACGGCGGCAAGAGTCTTAATAGCACAAGGATGGAAGAATGAAGAAATCCCCACCAAAGAACTGTGGCAAGAGAAACTGATGGACTATGCAGAATTGGCGAAACTGACACACAAACTGTGTGACAAGGACAACTGTGACTTCAAAGAAGAATAGGAACCTTTTTACAAAATACTTAAAGAAACAACAAACGGAATTGGACTCCTTGGCAGGTTTTGAATAAACATACACAAATTTATTACAGTGGTACCTCAGGTTAAGTACTTAATTCGTTCAGGAGGTCCGTACTTAACCTGAAACTGTTCTTAACCTGAAGCACCACTTTAGCTAATGGGGCCTCCCGCTGCTGCTGTGCTGCCAGAGCACGATTTCTGTTCTCATCCTGAATCAAAGTTCTTAACCTGAGGTACTATTTCTGGGTTAGTGGAGTCTGTAACCTGAAGCATCTGTAACCTGAGGTACCACTGTATAGGGTGCCTACATTCTGCATGGACTGGTTGCAGGGCAACATGTGGAAATGGCTGAAGATACCTATTAGGTCCATAAATGAACATATAGCATATACAGTGGTACCTCGGGTTAAGTACTTAATTCGTTCAG